AGAGGGAAAGAGGACAGGAAGGGAGGGAGGGAGGGAGGGGGGAGTCAGGAGCAAGTCTAGGGTAGGAGCGCTCGCCAGTGAGGTGGCCAATGGATGCATTATCAGACTCACATCTCACAAACCAGTGAATGTTTTTGTTTTGTTTTATTGGTTCTTTTTGCATCTGATTTGTTTCTATATCTGATGCCCAGCATGGTATCTGTACGGAGAAGGCACCTGGTACTGTCTGCTGGACATACTTCAATGAGAGAAGGACCAATGAAGGCTAATGGGGGAAGACAGTGGGCTCTACCCAGTGGCAAAGGCTGCCACCTGCAAAGCTTAGTCTCCTGGTGCCCTGAGCTGCTGACTCCAAGACTTTGCCACACTACCGGGCATGTGTACCCAGCTGTTCACTCATATCAGCTGCCCAGATCTCTAACAAGGCTGCTAACCTGGCCAAGCATGCCCCCTGCCTGGAGCCTTTTCCCAAAGCCCTCTGATCCCTCTTACCCCCAACCCCCCAATTTAGAGCATTCTCTCTGCTGCCAGCCAGCCTGTTACGATGGGGATTAAAGGGGTTCCCTGGGTGATGTGCAGTTCAACAGGAGACTTCTCCAGACATTCGCTTCTCTAGAGGGACAGAGGCCAACAGGAGACAGTTCTAATCATTTAAACAAATCATTGACTTCCTGTGGGCCCTGCAAAGGAGACAGAGAGCAATAAGGTGGAGTCTTGGCTCTTCCAAAGCTCCAAGTTCCCAAAGGATAAAATGGGCTCTCCCAAAGCAAGCGGTGTGCCAGGCATGCAGGTGGCACAAACAAGGAGCCACATCTGAGAACAACAACAAATCACTTTTGAATTGAAAATTTATAAAGTGCCAAGGAAGAGGCAGCATCTGAGTTGGGCCCTGAAGGAAAGGGGACAAGCCCTTCAATAGGCAGAGATAGGCAGGGCCCAGTGGGGCTGCCCATGACCCTCTGCCCCCCAGTTGATAAAAGCTGCTGTGTCCAGCGGCCTCCATCTCCTGGGCTGTGCTTCTAATCTTTGCGGGTCATTGGTAATCCTGCCCAAGGACTCAGGGAAGCTGTGTCATCTCCTTGTCGTTGGTCTGAAGATAAGTTGTTTCAACCTTTTAGACCTGACGCTTCCTCTGTGAAATGAAGACAGCACTCTGCCTTACAAGGTGATTGAAGCTCAAAGGAAACAGCCCAGAAATGCAGAGGTCAAGTTCAGTCTGGAGGGTGGGGCAGTAAGCATCCTCTGTTCCTGAAGCACAAGCAATAAATACTCTCTAAACCCACCCAGCAGCCTCACAAATGGATGCTGTTCGGCACCGGTCACTAGGGAGCCTGGGCACAAGGAGGGGTGGGTGGCTTGGTGCAATCTCACCCTTCCTGCTGTGTTCAGACTTGCTTGTGCCTCAGCATGTGACCTCAGCACCAAAGGTCCTGCCCTAATCTGACTCAGGAGCTGGGTTAGTGGCCCTCCTGCTACACACTCTAGTCAAGCACTCAATCACACTGTATTATATAGATGGTTTAGCAGACTATTAGGCTACTTAAGAGCAAAGGTGTGTTTAATATGTCTGTTTTCTACTGAAGTGCTTAGCACACAGCAGGCCTCAAAATAGCTGTCCAGTGACCGAATGGATGCATTACCCTTCTAAGTCGAAAACTCACCCAAATGAGAGTTGTTTGAGCCTCTCACTCTGCTCTTGTATGTAAGAACCAGGAGTTTCCCAGTCTACACGTGGTCCTGCTTTAAGCCCATCCCCTGGCAGTTACAATGATCTTAGGAGCCCAAGAAGCAGCAACCTCCCCTGGTCATCCCTGCCAGCGTGGGACAGACCAGGGACTCATTTCTGGGTCTCTGAAGGCAACCTTTCAGCCTGCAGTTTAAGCAGACAAAATACATCATTCAGTGACACTAAAATAAGCAGATAACTCAAGGGGGAAAAAACTCATAAAAAACCCCACCCCATAAGTAAACATGGCTGAATGTTTGAATGCTGGCTATCCAGTGTGACTGGGAGGGCCTCCTGATATTTGCAGAGGCCCAGAGAGCAGATAAGACTGCCAGCCTCAAAGACCACCTCCCATTCCACGTGGTCCCACCTCCATACCTGCTGCGCTGTTTCCTCCTGGGCCACAATCCTCTGCCCCTCTCCAATGGTAGTTTCAAACTGTTCCCTAGTTAGGTTCCTTTCCCTGAATCCCTGGCTGGTCTTCGGCTGCGGGTAAGTCATAGCCACAGAGCCTTAGTTTCTTGTTGTCACTGAGGAATAACCTCATGAAATTGTTCTGAGGATTAAATAAGATAAAATACAAAACTCTGGCCCACAGTTGGATATGTATATCCTGTGCCTCTCTTCCCCAGTCACCCAGTCTCTGCACTTAAACCATCTCAGATTCACTGGAAACAGAGAAACTCCCTCCCTCGGGGTGAAAAGGGAGGAGGAAGGATCTAGTAACTGCCACGGAGGGTCGCTTGCCAGTTGGACAAGTTGGGGTAAGGGTGGGGGCAAGTCGTCAGAGGTATAGCCTTCAAAGCAGAGGCTAGGGATTGGCATCTTTCTATAACCAGCCATGTGACCTTTGGGCAAGGCTCTTTCCTCCTCTGTGCCTCAGTTTCCTTACCTGTGAAACAGGGTCAAGCTCTCTGCCCTACCTACTTCACAGGGTCTTTGAGAAGGCGCTGTACAGATGTAAGCAGCAGTGATGAAAAGAGGGGACCCAGAGGGCCTGGGAGTCAAGTGGGCACAGACAGGGGCAGAAGCTGCTTCTTCCAGGGGGGTGGTCACCCGCTTTGAGCCCAGTTTCAGGACCCGCACACCAGGCCCCACACAATACTCAGCTCCCACCAGGACAACTCTTCCCTTCTGCTGATCAAAGCTGCTTGCTGTTTTAAAGCAAAAAATCTCACACTCCTGCTCCTGAGAGTGCGAGATTACTCTTTTACTCTTATAGAAAAAATGTCCATTTCAGTTTCCCTCTCTCTCCCTGTTTAACTCAGCAATTCACCTCCCTCAGGAAGCCCTTGCAGATTAAGCACATCCAACCTCAAAAACTCTTCCTTCCAGCACATCCCACAGCCTTTGAGTAAACTTTTGGAAGGCAAAGGCCACAGACACTAGGCACTCAGGAAAGAACCATTGGTTAAAGAGGTACGGGTTGTAATACTGGATCAGTTTACAATTGTTAACATTTCTGTTGTTAAATATTTAAAGAGTTAAGAACACTCCACTACACAAGAGACCAGAAGCCCCAGAGGGCAGGGGCCCTGTCTATCTCTTCTTGTAACAGGGGTATACAACCTGTAACCCAGGTTGTGACCAGGCTAACTCCACTCAAGCTCCTTGGTTTAATCCTGCTGCACCATCATCAGACAGAGGTCAGGGTATCACAGTGGTTAAACCAGAGTAAGGACTCTGGTGTTTGAATCCTGGCTCAACCACTTACTAGCTATGTGACCTTTGGCAAGTAACTTAACTGGTATGAATCCAAAAATGAGATACCCATTTCTTCTAGTTGCCATGAAAAGCAAGAGAGAAAATACAGGCAAACCATTTTCACTGTGGCTGGCATATATTAAGTGCTAATAAATCGAGGCTTGTTAGTATTACAAGCCTTGACTCCTGACCCTAGCTGCAGCCTGCCGCAAAATAGTCACCCACGTCCTTTCTCCTCTGTTCAAACTTGCCTTTGTCTTTTGCAGAATGCAACATACAAAGACAGCTCAGGCAGACAAAGAGGAATTACGTAGAAAGAGACAGGGAAGTATGGACAGTGCAAGTTAATCCTTCCTTCTGGTAGCCAATCTAGCCAACTCCCTGCATCACCACCCCTTCCTGGAAGAGGCACCCCACCACTGGCCTTTCCAGGTTAATCTTCCCTCCCCACGCCATTCAGCTGCCAGAGGTAACCCAACTCCAACCACATTCAATGAGTTGAATTAGAACAGTGAACTCAAGCCGCTTCTGTTGTATATTCTGAACTGGACACCAAAGGCTGCTGATGTTTCCTAACAAATCTCTGTGTAAGGGAGCCAGATTTAGTAAATAAAAAACAGTCTGCCCCATTAACTCTGAATTTCAGATGAATAACAATTAACTTTTTAATATCGTATGCCCCATGTAATATTTGGGGCATATTCATACTAAAAAATTTATTTGTTGTTTATCTGAAATTAAAAGTTAATGGGGCATCCTAAATTTTATCTGGAAATTCTACCCAAGGATACAGTCAAGATTAAGGTCTTCTCTCTGCCTTGCCACCTGTATTCTAATCAGCCAACCTAGAAGCATTTCTTCCTTTCGGCCCCCAGGCACAGCAAGCAAGAGAAGTGGGAGCTTTTCCCTCCCCGAGCTGCTGAGTCCAGCGACCTGCCTTGTCCAAGGGCCCAGCACCCAGCCAGGCACACAGTAGGTGCTCACAATAATCCCTCATTCGTTCCGGGCTGCTTGGGCCCCCGGCGCCGGGCCCAGCGGGGAGTGTGAGGGTGATGGGCCCGGCCAACCTCGACTCTGCAGCAGACTAGGGACCTCACCGCCGAGGTGGGGCCAGGAGGCCGAACCACTGGCTTCCTGGGGTTGTTCTGAAGATCAAATGAGAACACAGCCAGGGATATGTTTTATAAATGTTACGTATTATCACGACCTCCGAGCGGTCCATTTTCCCGCAGGGCCCCGGGGACATAGAAACACATGGCGGACGGAAGCCGGTGCCTCTGGACACGGTAAGAATGGCTAACAACCGCCCATTACTTTGTAATTTGCCAAACACGCTCCCAACATACATCCTCTGGAGGCCTTACCACGGCCCCGCGACGCGAGTGCGGTCTCCGGGGCCCTTTCCCCGAGGGGGGCTGGGG